TGTTGGGTGTTTTGATTGTGAGTTTCTGCATGGTGGGGGGATGGACTGGATGGCCTTTGTGGTCTCTTCCAGCTCTATGATCAAGAGCGAGCCTTCTTTGAACCGGCACTGAATAATACTCACTCTGCTCCTTTGTTTGGGTGCAAGGCACTGTGAAGGCTACAAGCCGAAGCCAGAAATAACTAGGCTATGTAGAGTGCTTGCCTTGGACAATGTCCTGCCCTGAAATGTTAGTATGGTAGGCCCTTGGTATTTGCTGGAATTGGGTCCCAGGGCACTAAAATTGTAGACGCTCATGTCCCATTATCTACAGCAGGGGTAGGTAACCTTTTTGAGCCGGGGACTGGGTTGCTGTCCTTCAGATAATTGGGGGGCTGAAGCACCATCAATCAATCAATCAATCAATAAAAATATATTTTAAAAAAATAGAAAAATATGCATGCACACTCTCAGCCCCAGAAAAGCCATGGCAAACCCCCTGTGGAGATTTTGCCAAGAAATTCCCAAGAACAAGTAATAGCAAAAATAATATCATCATGGCGGGCAGCAGCAGCGGCGACAGGACCAGCCTGGGGCTGCTCCAAAGGCCTTGGGGGGCCGCATTCGGCCCCCGGGCCTTAGGTTGCCTACCCCTGATCTACAGTGTTGAAGTAAAAATGGAGTTCTTCATATAAAATGACAAAAGTAAAATTTGCTTTTGGATTATTTTCTGTTTCAATATTTTCAAGCCGTGGGTAGATGAATCAGTGGATACGGAAGTCTGACTGTAAGAAGCAGCTGAGCAAAATCTTAAATTGGAGCAAGAGCCAGATTTTATACACACCAATAAAGGCGATTTTGTATCACAGCATCTGTCTTGAGAGTACAAAACAGCCTTTTCCTCAATAGGCTCAGAGGTGGAAATTGCATGGCCTTCCAGAGGTTGTACCGCATCTCCCAGCATTCCTCACCATTGACCACTGGGAGTTTCAGTCCAACAGCATCTGGAAAACTGTATAATTCTCACTTCCAATCTCCAGTTGTACGAGGCTGCCTTTAACATATTTCTTGAATATGAGAGCCAGCACAGTGTAGGTGGTTTGAGCATTTGACTGCGAGTGAGGAGCAGGGTTCGAATCCTGGATCAGCCACAACCCCCCCTGGATGACCTTGGGCAAGTAGCACTCTCTCAGCCTCAAAGGATGCCAATACCCCCTTTGATGCAACTTGCCAAGAAAACCCCATGATAGTTTTGTCTTAGGGTCTCCTTAAGTTGGAAATGACTTGAAGGCACACAATAACAATGTATCATAGAGTAGAAACAACCCACAAATGCCATGTAATTTTATCTTCCCCTGTCATGTGGCAGTTTGCAGCTAAAACATTCCTGAAAGATGCCCATCCAGCCTCTATTTAAAGATTTTCATCAAGATCTTAAACAAGACCTGAGCAGAAATTGAGCCACCAAAATTTTTGTTTTCCTGTCTGGCTTGCAAAGAGATTTGTGTTTTCCCATCCTCTGATGGTAACATTGCAACATATTTAGTTGGAAAGTACATCTTAGAGCCAGTGTGGTGGTGTGGTTTGAGCATTGGACTATGATTCATTGGAGACCAGGGCTTAAATCCCTGCTCAGCCACTGGGTGACCTTGGACAAGTCACACTCTCTCAGCCATAGAGGATGCAATGGCAAAGACAAACTGAACAAATCTTTAGTTTTTTGTGGGTTTTTTGGGCTGTGTGGCCATGTTCTAGAAGAGTTTCTTTCTGATGTTTCGCCAGCATCTGTGGCTGGCATCTTAAGAGAATACTGGAATAGAAGAGAGTGGGTCTATATACTCTCTTCTATTACAGTATTCTCTGAAGATGCCGGGTTACATGGAAATCACTCCTCCCTACCAGGGTCTCACAGTATATATAGACCCACTCTCTTCTATTCCAGTATTCTCTGAAGATGCCAGCCACAGATGCTGCGAAACATCAGAAAGAAACTCTTCTAGAACATGGCCACACAGCCCAAAAAACCCACAAAAAACTATGGATGCTGGCCATGAAAGCCTGAACAAATCTTGCTGATAAAACCCCATGATGGGTTCGCCTTAGGCTGGAAAGAACTTGAAGACACACAGCAACAACCGCAACCATCTGGGTGTGCAGCCCCAGGGCAAGAGTGCATGATCGGCAAATGTAGTTTTAAGTTAGAAGGATCCAGTTCTCTCCGGGAAGTGGGTAGATGAGGCTGCTTCTTATTGCTTTAGTATATAATACGGGGGCTGAAGAAAGCAAACTGCCTTCAAAACCACAGAGGAGTTGTCTTGAAAAGAAACCAGGCAACACAAAACATACCCCCTTGAGACATAGTTTCTGTTCTTTTTTCCGCTATTCTGGGGCTTTTGGATGTTGTGCAAGAGAAAGTGTTGCAGCAAAGTTAAGCAAGGCATTAGCTGGAAATGGAAGGGTGTAGTGGTTAGATGCTCTTGTTTCAGTTCTGGAAAAATGTTTTTGGGTTGGCAGTGGATGTCTAAAGAGACAGTGTGGTGTAGTGGTTTGATTGTTGGACTACAACTCTGGAGACTCGGGTTCAATTCCCAGCTCAGCCATGAAACCCGTTGGGTGACTTTGGGCAAGTCACATGCTCTCAGCCTCAGGGGAAGGCAATGGCAGACCTCCTCTGAACAAATCTTGCCAAGAAAACCTTTTGAGGGGGTTGCCATAAGTTGGAAACAGATTGAAGGCACACAACAACAACATTATGTTTATACAATTTTAACTGGGTTATTTTAATTCTTTTTTATTGTAAAGTTTTAAAAGTGTTTTTGTCTTGTGAGGTGCTTTTGGGTCTCTTTTTTGGGAGAAAGGCAGCATAAAAATGAAATAAATAAATAATATCTGCTATAGTATTTCCAATTTCTGTGTGTGATTTTGAAAGCTGGACAGGGAAGGAAAGCTGGCAGGAAGAGAATGATCTTATTTGAAATGTTCTGGAAGAAAGTTATCTGGAAACTTTGACCTATTCCCTAAAAAGATAATATTGAACTGCCAAAAAAGAGATGAATCAATGGGTCTGAAAACAAATCAGACTTGAAATCTCCCTAGAAGCGAAAGTGATCAAACTGTTGTATTTTGAGTAAATCATGAGATGATGTGACTCCTTAGAGAGAAAAAGTCAATAAAGATTGGTTAAATTAAACTCAGTAAGAACAGAGGAATTTTGCATTGCAGGAGGATGGATTCAGTCAAGGAAGCCATGGCTCTGAGTTTGCAGAACCAAGACTCTTGGAGGTCTCTTATTCATAGTGTTGCAAGAAATCAAAGCCAATGTAAAGGCAATTTGATAACCACAAAGGAGTGGAATGCAACAAAATCCACAAAGGGGCAATAGCCTTTGGCCAGTAAAGGTATTTCTCTTTTGTGGATTTTGGAATTTGTTGTATTTTGCTGCATGGCTAGCGACATAAATGTTTCCTGGACTTAAACAAGTAGAAATGGCTTCTAGGGTCATTAAAGTTGGGTAGAGAGGATGGAGGCCCATGGGCCCCTTGCAGCCTGCTGGCTGATTTTGCAGAATGACCAGGCATCCTCCTTTTCCAGGACATGTCCTACATTTCAGCATTTTATCCAGGAGGTATTCCAAAATGTCCTCCATTTTGAACATAACTAAGGAG